GTAAATAGAAAAAGTGATCCTGGAGAAAAGAGCTAATGTGAGGAATAGAAGTTTTTTTTTTAAAGATTTATTTTTTTTGGTTAGACATATATCTTTATTTTATTTATTTTTTTTTAATGTGGTGCTGAGGATCAAACCCAGGGCTTTGCGCATGCCAGGTGAGCGCTCTACTGCTGAGCCACAACTCCAGCCCAGGTATAGAACTTTTTAAGGATATATATAAAGGGGCTATGGATGTAGTTCAGGAAGATTTTGTGCTTAGTATTCATGAGGCCCTGGGTTTGATCCCAACCTAGTAACTAACTCTCACACACACACAGAGAAGAAAAGAAAAAAAAAAAGTGCATAAACATTGTGCTTGAGACAGTAATAGGATATGGGTCTTTAAAGTAATTCAGTTAAAAGGTTCCTCAGGGCAGATCCTCATCCAGTTTGACTCCTGTCATTATAAGAAGAAATTAGGACACAAATATGGACAGAAGGAAGATAATGTGAGGACACAGGGAGAAGATGGCCATCTGCAAACTGAGAAGAAAGTCCTCAGAAGAACCAAGCCTGCTGGCACCTTGACCTCAGACTTCTAGTCTTTAGAGAAGATAAGTTTTTTTAAGAGAGAGAGAGAGGGAGAGAAAGAGAGAGAGAAAGAGAGAGAGAGAGAGAGAGAGAGAGAGAGAATCTTTTTTGTAGATAGACACAACGCCTTTATTTTTATGTGGTGCTGAGAATCCAACCTGAGTCCCGCCCGTGCTAGGCGAGCCCTCTACCTCTGAGCCACAATCCCAGCGCGAGAAAATGAGTTAAGCCACCCAGTCTGTGGTATTTTGTTCTGGAAGTCCTCATAGAATAATGCACATTGTATTCCTAAAACATAAGCAGGCTCTTATGGAAAAGGACAAGCCAGAGAACAAACCTGATTCGTGGAATTTAAACATAACAACTGCCAAAAAAAAATATTCAAAATCTCGGAGGATAAAACAAGGTCACCTTGTAAAATATAGAAGACATTAAAGTGAGAAACAGGGAAGTTAAGAAATAAGGGATCATTCCAGCAAGTCCAAACTGAGTAAAGAGCATTTCAGAAAGAAAAAAATAAAAGTTAAATGAAGAAATAAGCTGTCTTTAAATTGAAAAAGTCTGTTGTTGCAAAGCCGAACAAGGGAAGAAAAAAATAAGAAGAAAGAAAAAACTCTAGGAAATACATCACTAGCAATTGCATAAAGATAAGACCCTAAAAGCTTCTGGAAATCAAGTTTGCACACACAGACAGACATATACACACACATCACTATCTAAGTGTCAAAAGAGTCAGATATGCCTCAGAATTCTCACCAGTGGCAAGGCCATCAAAATTCAAAGAGAAAATGAGTTTCAATCTTGAACTCTATACCTAGGCTAGCTATCAATTAGGTTGAAGGCCAACTACAAATGTTTTCAAATATGCAAGAATTTGGAAACTTCAGTCCTGATGCATCCCTTCTCAAAAAAGTTACTTGAATATATTCTCCCAAAAAAAGGGGGAGAAATAGAAGTCGGTCTGATTAAGAAAAGCAATGAGGGGGCTAGGGTTGTGGCTCAGCCGTAGAGCACTTGCCTAGCACGTGAGAGGCCCTGGGTTCGATCCTCAACACCACATAAAAATGGATAAATGAAGGTATTGTGTCCAATTACAACTAAAAAATGAATGTTTAAAAAAAAAAGAAATGAAAGGAAATGCAGAACAGGATCTATTTAGCAAGTATAAAAGAGAAACTCCATTCATCTGCAAATGTTTATTGTGCACTTACTATATGCCAGGTGCTATTCTAGATGTTGGGGATACAATGATGGACAAGAAAGAAAGACATCACCATGCTTAATTCCAGTGAGGGAGACAGAAAAACAGAAATCTGTGCATAACTAATTGTGGGCAGTGATAAATGCTCTGATGGAGAATGATGCAGGGAAAGGAGAGGTGTGCTCTTTGATGGGGTTGAAGTAAGAACAAGGACAAGCATCTAGTGTAGATAGATGATCCCTTTGGTGTATTGGGAAGATGGGGTTGGTTCCCAAGGAAAGGTAATAAAATGCTAATATCTTCAGGACACTCCCTCTCCTCCACACCTGTTGCCAAGGTTACCTGCCTCCAGGGAACTGTTCCTCCTGAAGAGAAATTGTTAAAGAAGTACCACCTTCTGGGTGGTTCCCTTCCTGCCCCTTTGGACAGACACAGGGAGGCACCCCTGGAAGGCTTCAAGGAGGGAGCTTGCGAAGAAAGGATAAAAGGAGAAGGATACCTCTTCCTATTGACACCAGCTCTGGATCCCCTTTCTCCTGGAAGAAGTCAGTCTCTGTCCTATCCTTTAAATAAAACTTCTTTCTGTGTTTGCCTCAGCATTTCTTGGGTGTTCAATCTTAGACACCGGGGAAAAGGGGCTTGGATCTGATTTACAACACCGATGTTAGGGTAACACTTGAATTGAGGCCTACAGGAAAGGAAAAACTAGGCAATAAACAGCAAGTGCAAAGGCCCAGCAGTAGAAACTGAGAAACTGATGTGAATCCATTTTTGAGAAACCAGCTTCTACCTCAAGGCCTGTCCAGCGGGAGGGGGCATGACCCTTGTCTTTGAAAAACCCACAGAGCACTCCTAAATGCATACCCACCCTGCTGAGTTGTTTAACAGAAGAGATCTGCAGTGCCAGGTATCCCTGACTCAGGCTAGGTGAGGACCTATAGCAACCCCCTAGCAACCACTAATCAGCATGAGACAGGGAAAAAAATTATTTAAGATGCCAGGTGACCCTCTCAGTTTCCGGTGATTTGATAACATGATTAGGCAACCCTGCAGTTTAGCTCGTACACCCCTTGCGGCTTAAACCAATCAGTTCAAATGTATCCACCCCTTGTACTAACCAATCACCCTTACCCAACTTGTTCCTGCCAGTGAATGTGCTTATCAATGTTAAGAGTTGTTGTTTGATTTTTCCTAGGTATGAAATGAATTGCTGTGTGATGTTGTGATGCATAGAGTATCCCCCAAACCTATAAATCCTCACTGAACTAAGTGTTGGGATTCACTCCTAAGGACCACTGCGTTGGAAATGGTTGTGAGTCCAAGTTTGAGCTTGCAATAAAGAGTCTTGTGCAATTGCATTGGATTCGGCTCCTGGAGGTCTATTAGGGTCCCACGAATCTGGCATTACAAAACCAGCTTGGGATGTTTGAAGAGTGGGAAGAAAGCAACTATGGCAACAATGGGGCATTTCCCCTGCCAAGTCAGCTGTGATGAGACATTGCTAGAGGATTTTGAGCAAGAAAATGAAGTCAAAAAATGGCGGAATGTGGAGGAAATGGGGACCTCGTGCACTAGAAGGTGTGCATGAAATGCTTGAAAATAATTTTTATCAACTCAAATTTTCAGGATCAAACTATAATAAAAACAAGATAGATCTCATGAATGCAGAAGGAGGAAGGGGAAGCATAAGGTACAGCAGAGTACTGAGCTGGAAGAGCTTCACTATAATGACAATGAGGTGAAAAATGTTAATTTAAAAATTCAAAAGTAAGAACTGAAAACATTTAGTTAAATAAAAGGATAGAAGGAAACTAAGTGCTCAACAATCACAGCAGAAAGTCAGTAAATGATGTCTAAAGTTGATCTGGGGTAGAGAGAGAAGATGGGAGGAGAGGGGAGGGGAGGGGAGGAGGATAGTAGAGGATAGGAAGGGCAGCAGAATACAACAGACACTAGTATGGCAGTATGTAAAAAAGTGGATGTGTAATCGATGTGAATCTGCAATATGTATACCGGGCAAAAATGGGAGTTCATAATTTCCTTGAACCAAATGTATGAAATATGATATGTCAAGAGCTTTGTAATGTTTTGAACAACTAATAATAAAAAAATAAAGTTGATCCATCAATCAAAAGTATTGGCATATTATTAGAGCTTCATGATAACCACTGGAATTATAAGTTCTATCGCTAAAAAGGGGGACAGAGACATAAAGAAAGAAGCAGAGGAATATTAATTATTCTTATAGGTCCTTAGATCTTTCCTTCTTTTAAAAATAGAACATTTATCAGTTTAACTTTAAAAGCTATTAATTTAAATTTAGATCCACTGTTGTAGGGACAAATGAGGCAAGGCACCGAAGATAGCAGGAAACAGTTTTATTTGACTGCAGCCAGGTTCAGAGGGTACAGCCTTTGCTGTAATCAATCAATCCCCTGAACCCCGAGTTCAGGGAGTTTCAGAATTTTATACCCAGCATGTAAGGGGAGGGGCTCAGAAGTTCACAGTCTGCAGAAGTTCACATAAAAGCAGCTTTTTCTTTCACTGTTCTGGGCAAGTTAACTCTTCAAGGACAACACCTGAGAAGGTGAGAGCTTCATCTCCCCTTTCTTTCCTCCCCCTGCCAGCTGTTACCATGGGCCCATTTGTAACATCTTAAAAATGTAGACATCTCTGTGAAGCCCAGCTCAAGGTGAGAGGCCTTGTTTGCACATTTCTTCAAAGTACTATACTGGATACGTTTGTGAAAAACTAGTAAGGGGGTGTCCAACACCTGGAGTGCTGGTATCTTCTTGGCCAGTGGCCAAGTAAACAGGGTGACATGAAAATAGGAAGTTTATCTACAATGGACTCTTTTGCTGACAGTCCTAAAATCAGCCATGGTGAAGAGGACTTCTCTGTGGAGAAAGGGGATGCCACTTCACCACCAAATCTACTTTTTTTTTTTAACCTTTCTTTTTCTTATGTGGTGCTAAGTATTTTGAACCCAGTGCCTGACACAGGCTAGGTAAGCACTCTACCACTGAGCTACAACCCCAGCCCATAAAACATACTTATGTTTGTCCATATGAAGTCAAAGATTTTCTTTTATGATCCATCAATAGGTCCAAGTGAAATACAATCACCTACTTCTAAAAATCCATCCAGGAGATGTCTGGGTATGATGTAGTGTTATAGTTAAAGCTTCGTCCCGGGGTTTCATAAAGTGACTTCCAGACCACTCACGTATAATCGAATCAAGCCTTTATTGAAGCACACCGGTGGTGGCTGACCAGAACATAAAGCTGTTCCCCTTATCAGCCCTGAACAATTGCAAGGGCACTCCTTATAAGCCTGAAAACCGCAAAAGGGATGTTCGGGGGGGTCTAGCCAATGCAAGCAAGCCAGGTTACAGAAGTGGGACAGTGCAGTCAAGCGGAGGGAAGACTAACCAATCACAGTTAGCCCAGTCACCCCAGTTACAGAAACAGAGCCCCGTTACCCTAGTTACAGAAACAATACCCCATTAGGTAGTTCCATGTTCTTAAAGGTTTCTATAGCAAAAGGAAAAGAACACCTTGCTCTAGTCATGACTCTTCTACTTGGCATGGTTGTTTTACAGGATGAAGTCATAAAACAAAATGGAGTCACATTTGCTCCTACTATCACATTCCCCACTGGTTTTAGTAGGTTTGATGTCAATCTTGCACATCATTAGGCCTCAGTTTTTGTTTCATCCTTCTGTGTCTAAGGGACTATACTGGGCTCTCAAGACCATAAGTCTGACCCCATCTACATTCTTTTGTGTGTATGGTTTAGGAGGGTTTTTAAGAGGCAGGGTCCTACAGTAATACCAATCAGGTGAAGGACTAGGGGCCCAACTATGGCTGAAATGATGGTAGTCAACTAAGGGGACCATGAGAATAGATTTTGGAACCAATTTCCTGAAGTTTCTAGTGTTTTATCTCTTTCATTTAACCTGTTTTTCACAAGCACCAAACTGTACTTTATTATCCCAGACTGGTTTGCATAGAGAAACAAGTTTCTACTGGAGCCATACAAAGTCTTCCTTGTTTCAGAAAGAGACCATCTAGACCTCATCTGTTTTGTAAGACTATTTCTGTCAGAGAGTCTAGTGAAACCTCTAGTTTGGAGATTGACCTTTCTAGTTTTTCTAAATCTATATTTATTTGATGGCTGAGGGACTTAAAATTTTTAGAGCTTGTGATAAGAGCTGTAGTTCCCAAAGCAGTAGATACCAGCCAGGAGGGGAACTAAAATGGGGGTAGCCAGTCTATGTTGATAAATCAGTGGGGTCTGGCCTTTTAATAAGTCCAGGTGTTCTTTTTCTTTTACTCCATCAAAATAGTAAGTTACATAGTTCAGAGTTATTGACAGTTTGGAGATTTAGTCAAGGAGTTCAAAGTGGGAACCGAGAAGCACAATTTTTGGTGAATGGGGAGTTGTCCCACTTATAAGTTGGGTTGCGGAAGCAAGTGTCTCTTTATGGGTGATCTTGGGAGTAGTTTCCCAGGTACATCTTCCTGAGCTAGACATTGGCGAACATCTATGTTGACCGTAATTTTTTTTTAATATTAGGGACCTCCAACTGCCATAAGGGAAAAGGGCGATGACCATTCTTGCTACTTCCAGCTGAAAGGGGGGTGATGTGCAGTGGGCAAGCAGTTTTGGAGTCCCTTTTTAGAAACCGAGTGGGTCAAGGAGTCCATGGTAAAAATCTGGCTCAGGAAGAACAGGATGTAAATTCACCTGGGGTGAGCACTTCTATGAGAGAAACAAAAAGACATGAGTGCTGAAGTAAGATTAATACAAAATAGCAGTTGTAGCATCTGAAACCTGTTCATGAATATCATGAAAATGACAGAAATTAATAATTGTTTACCAGGAGGCGGAAGACCTGAGAAAATGTCCCCATAACAAGGCCTAACAAAGCCTAATAAGGCACTTTTTTTAGGGAACATAAATCTTTAACATTGTTAGAATTATTAGGAATGTAGACACAATATTTAGTTAAATTAGTTAATGTCATCTGATTTTTGTAAAAATACCTTTTTGGCATGACCACTGTGTTCAGTAAAGATCCTTTTGTTACTTAGGGCTAGATAATTATATTAATAAACATTGATTACATCTACCTGTGTAGGAAGTTAGGAAGATCTGTAGGCCTTAAATGGAATAGAAACTTTTGGCATTTATTGGTAGTTATCAGGCATTTTTGCCTAAGAATTTTTCTTCTGTTGTCTCCAGTCTTACTTATTTTTGGGGATGCTAACATTAGTGTACATTTTAAGTTACATTAACTGTTGTTGTTTTTTTAAATGTCCAGGAATGGCTGTGCTTTGGTTTTAACTGTTTTTGCTAGGTGTTTAAGACCAAGCTGGTCAAACTGACCTTGTTTCTATCTATTGTTAAGAGTCAGCTGAGTTTCCTCGGAGGACATTCTTGGGGAACGTGTGAGTAGCATTTTAGCTCTGTTAGTGTCATCTGCATTAGGATGGGTCAAGGTCTTGCTGACCATATGGCTTTCCTTGGAAGCATCAGACATGTCTCCTTTTTAAATGACCCTCCTGTTTTGCAGCATGTACACTCATTGGCATTTTGTTTTCCATTGGTCTCATTAATCTCCCTTATCAGGAGGTTATGTGGCCCGGAGTTGCAAAGCATTTTCCCCTGTCCTGGGTTCAGGCTGACTTAGAGGGCAAGAGCCAAATATTGGGTTTTTTGGCCCCTTTATTTTGACCTTAATATTTAAATTTGGCCTTAAACATCCAGCAAGTCAGTTTTACCAGTTTTAAAGTAAGAATGCTGGGCTTTAACTTTAATCTTTATAACTTTACAGTTTATTTTTACATAACACAATATCCTTATTTTATTTATTAATTTACGTAATGCTGAAGATCTGCCTGAAGGCAGAAGATGACACCTTAGCATCTACTGTATGATCCAATCACTATACACCAACGAGGCAGCTTGCAGACCTAGAGATCCCATTAGATTTTGGCTATAAAAACTCTCTCTTGCCAGGTCCTCCCCTCTTGCTCTCTCCTTTTTCTCTCACTTTCCCTGTCTCTCATTCACTTTTTTCCTCTCTCTTTTTCCTTCTCTCTTTCTCTCTCTCTCTCTCTCTTGCATTTCTTTTTACTTCTCTTTCTCTCTCTCTCTCTCTTGCATTTCTCTCTCTCTCTCTCTCTCTTTCTCTTTGTGTTAATCAGACACTGTCACAGTAAAGGTCTCTTGGTTGCTCTGAGTGCAGTGGTCACATTTTTTTTTTAGATATAATGAAAATATAAAGTGAAATCAACAATAATAAAAACATATTTGGCTTGTATATAATTTTGAACCTTGGCTGAGTTATACATTATATTTTTTATATGATATCATAGTAATCTTTTTAATAAATTAATCTTTGAATATAACTTTAAATTAACTGAAATCTGGCCTACTTTGAAGTTATTCTGACATGTTGTAAGGTGGGAAGCAGAGCCTTATCTCAGCCTTATCTTAACAATCTTAGCTAAAGTGTTTTAGTTTTAAAGCTGATCTTTGTCTTTTTAGATATCATTTTATAAAGTTTACATATATTGTTTTTGACTCTGTATGAATGTTAGTAGCACAATATGACATACATCTGAAACATTAATTAAGGAAAGGCTGAGAGCCCTTAACATTTTTTATGTGGAAAAGTGGCAAAATGTTTTATAATATTTAACCTTTAAGTAGATTAGGCTCTCATTACTTTTTAAATTTAGTGTAAAAGGTAACGTAAGATTTGGTTACAAAACATTAAATAATATAAATAAATTTCCAATAAAATCTATTATCTTTGTAAGTTTAAATTATCATTACAGACAATTTTAGTTTGGAGAATACCAGCTTGATAAAATGTTCCTTTAAACCTTTTACCTTAAAGACTTGTTTACCTGAAAGATATGAACACATTTAATCCATAAAGAAGAGTAATGTACCACACTTTCATTGATTTTTTATATTAACCAAGGTTAGCTTTTAAAGGAAAATCTAGACTTTGTAATGTAAGACAATACTTTAAAATAACAGTTGTTGTTTAGCCACAGATGTAAAAACCTTAATTTTTCCAAGATTACTTGTTCTAGAGGATAAAACTTAGCAGACATAATGTAATAAATATTTTTGTCAATTTAACATATAAATATATCAGTACATTATTATTTGTCCTTAGGGAACAACCTTGAATAGTTTTAACTATTTGTGTTATATATATATATATATATACAACTTAGTTACATATAAACATTTTAATATTTGTCTTTTATTTATAGACCTTTATATTACTTAATTAGACCCTTTTGTTGTTTACTTAGATGTATTATAATTATACTTTATCACATAAAGACTTTTTAACTTGGAAACATTTTTTTATTAATTAAAGATTTTTTTATATGTAGAACTTTTTAATATTTTTTTAACCTATTGATCCTTTTTTTGGTTTGTACCTTGAAATAATAATCTTTATAAATTTTTGAATTTAGATAAATCAATCCATTTTAATAAGATGAAATATTTGTTACTTACAGTACTTTCATTGAGATACAGTTGAAAACTTTTGACTCTTTTTATGTAGAATTATACCTGTTGGGACTTTGTAATTTATAGTATCCTTGTTTTTATAATAACACAAAATAATTTAAAATTTTCTTTTTTAGTTTACCAATTTGTGAAAATACCAACATTGTTTAAATATTTTACCTTATGGAATTTAAGGAGTTAAGAGTACTTGATATTATATTTAACAGCATTTTAACTTTGTACCAATTAGATGTCTTTAACAAACATATCCATGATTAATTTTATATACGTTTAGATAAAATTTATGAATCTTTTTTTAAAAACAAGGTATCAGACAAGTGCATTGAATAGTATTAGTAATCTTTTTTTTTCTGTTGAATAAAAATCCTAGAGACAATGTATATCAGACACTTTATAGACATTAACATTTTAACAGCTGTTTACCCATGTAGAAACAAAACTGTGTATTAGTAACTTTAAAGACATTTGTACTTTTATTTATTTTCCCAATTTGAATTGAACCTTTTAAATCATATTAACCAAAAGTATTTGGATCCATTTTTTTAAATTTTAATTTATGAGCTCATTTGTACCAAATATATTTAGACATGGCAATACACGTAGACAGACAGTACACCGGTGCACCCACACAAAGCAAACAGACAAACAAAAGCCTTGTAGCTTATTTTTTAAAACCTATTATATTGAGAGTTAACCCTTGTAAATTGGCCTTAGAATAAAGCAGAGTGTAATAGGAAAAACATATTAACCTAGGCATATTGGATCAAAATTATGAGTTTAACAAATATAGAGTTTTAAAAGTTTTCTGACCTTTTTCCTGAGGTGGTCCTGTTCATGAAAGCTGAAAAGAGTTGAGGGAACATAGACAAACGAAGGGGGTTTATTTTTCCCTGGAGGAAGTTCCCAAAGATGCAGCTTCATTGGTCTCCTTGGGAGAGTCCTCCAGGTTGGGGTCCCATTCTAAACTGGTTTTTCTGGTTTCTTGGATAGCGGCCACCAACTTTTAGTCTGACATTGAAAAATCTTTAGACCATTTTTTTAATAGTTGGGAGTTATTCATGCTTGTAAATACTGAGAGACAAAAGCCAAATTTCTAGACAAAATTATGCTTTTTGTTATACAATATAGGAATAATAATTTTATAAAACACTTTAGTTTTAATCTGTCCTCTATAGGAACTGACATGATTTACCCAGTTGGCCACCTGGCCCAGTTCCTAAATGAAGGCAATCTCTAGAATGTCTTTTTCTTTTTACCTTTAGCTTTTACTTTTGACAATTTTTTTAGTCCTGTTGGCAGCACTTTACATTTTAATGTAAGCTGTAGTGAGCACAGTTAAAACCATTTTAACCATTTTTTCCCATTAGAAACAAACTGAGGTAGAAATTAACACAGAACACAAAGGGAACAAACAAAAACAAACCAACAAAGTCCTGAAATTGTTAACAAGTTAAAGGAGTCCAGGTAGAGATCTCTGTAGCATTTCCTTGTCTCTGATGTTGGTGGATCGAAGGAGTCCTGATGAAAGAAGAGTGGTTATGAGAACAAGAAAAGGGCCCGAGCACAACACTCGGATAGAAGAACAGGACAAACAGCCAGCGAACAGACACGGGACAAATGACAAACAGCAAGAGGACGCTGGAGAAACGACAAACAGCAAAACAGACACAGGACAAGCAACAATCGCTGAGATCACACAAGGAGACCTCTAATGGGCAGAGACCCCACAAACAGAACAACCGGCCGGCGAACTGACACTGGACAAATGACCAACAGCAGAAGACACTGGAGAAATGACAAACAGCAGAACAGACACAGGACAAGCAACAATTGCTGAGGTCGCACAGGGAGACCTCTAATGGGGCAGAGACCACGTCTCGTCCTGCCCCCAGACAGATGAGGCCTCCCAGGGAGGCCTCCAGTGGGCCCCAGATACAAACAGATGAGGTCTCACAGGGAGACCTCCAGGGAGACAGTGACAATGTCTCGTCCTGTCCCGGGGAAGGTGTAAGCGACTGCGTCCAATCTGACCTTTTCCCCCAGAAAAGAGTCGACTCACCAGAACTGACAGCCAGCAGGAGGCTTTTCAGAGCGTTCGTCCTCGGAGTGAGGCTGAGGAACGTCTCTCAGGAGCTCCCCTCTACTCCGGGGTCGTGGTCCAAAGGACCGTTGTTGGAGGCAAATTTGGGGTGAGGGTAGGGAAGAAATGGATCCCGGACGAGCCCCCAAATGTTATAGTTAAAGCTTCGTCCCACGGTTTCATAAACTGACTTCCAGACCACTCACGTATAATCGAATCAAGCCTTTATTGAAGCACACCGGTGGTGGCTGACCAGAACATAAAGCTGTTCCCCTGATCAGCCCCGAACAATTGCAAGGGCACTCCTTATAAGCCTGAAAACCTCAAAAGGGATGTTCGGGGGTCTAGCCAATGCAAGCAAGCCAGGTTACAGAAGCGGGACAGTGCAGTCAAGCGGAGGGAAGACTAACCAATCACAGTTAGCCCAGTCACCCCAGTTACAGAAACAGAGCCCCGTTACCCTAGTTACAGAAACAATACCCCATTAGGTAGTTCCGTGTTCTTAAAGGTTTCTATAGCAAAAGGAAAAGAACACCTTGCTCTAGTCATGACTCTTCTACTTGGCATGGTTGTTTTACAGGATGAAGTCATAAAACAAAATGGAGTCACATTTGCTCCTACTATCTCAGTAGGAAGATTTAAATTGGAGGAAGCATTAAACAGAGCTAGCAGAATTGTTGGGTAAACATATAATGGCAGCAGCACCCCAGAGAAAAACCCCAGCATGGCGTCTAACGACCCTCTTTCTCCTCTTTGTTTCTTTCACTGGCGCGAAACGTTCCTGCTGGCGCCAATGTTCAAACCCTGCTGGTGGGAAGCCTTAGCCCCAATTAGAATTAACTTCTTGGGCTCCGGAACTGACATATGGAAGAGCTTGCCAATAAACGGGTGACCTGTTATCTACCTCAGCCCTGCGACCTCTCCTTAGACCTATATAAACACACAGCTTTTTGTAATAAAGGGGGAAACCTCTTTGGTAATCTGTGTCGTGTGGTGTGGCATCTTCCAGTCTTACAAGAATAGTACAGTGATTCTAAAAAAATAGCTCCTGGGATCAGACTGATTGAATTTGAATCCCCCTTTGACATTCATTAACTGTGATTTTAGGAAATTTACTTAACCACTTTGTTCTTTAGTTTCCTTACCTGTAAAATCAGAAATTAAATGTACCTACCTCATATAAGAAATAAATAAGTTAATATTTATAATATATAAGACGGAACAATGACCTTACATGGTTGGTCCATGTTTCTTTTGATTATAAAGCATGATATAATTAGAAGGCAATTGAAAAAAAAAAAGTGTTTCATACAAATTTCTCTCTCCTACAGATATGAAAATCCTTTATTAGAGATTTTGTTAAAACCTTTTGAAATCTGGTCCCTGTCTGAACAGAAAGGCAGCTGAGATATGCAGCTGAGATAGGGGGAGGGGCAGATTTGCCAGTAGATAAGAAAGCATCCAAGGGAGGAGAGAACCAAGTAGAACTCCAAGACGGACAAGCTCACAGTTTGGCCCCAAACTAGATTTCAACAAATAGAGTCCTGGCTCCTGTTTCCCCACGGCAATTCCTGTCTATCTCACACTCACATTTAAACTGGGGTAGACCAGGGACTGTGTTCCAGGCCTGGCACAGGCTCAAGTTATTTATTGCTCAACTAAAAAAAGTCATGTTGTTCCTGGGGCTGCCATGGAGCCAAACCCCTGGGACTACTTTTTTCACATTTATTTTTGTCCAGGGCCGGCTGGGCCACTGCAATGGACTTAAATGCCAAAGGGTGGTCCCTGAACCAGTTCATCTTCCAGGGCTTGGGAGGGGCTATTTGTCCAGGCTGGAGACAGCTACAGAAACTCAGCCCACTTTGGGAAGTGGTTGCCTTGGGAGACCTTTCAGTCTGCTCTGAATGAGGCCTCTGGCTGGCTAAACTCTCTTTCCACAAGAAAGCATCTGCATTTGAGTGGAAAGACTTGCATAAGTCAGGACTTGCCTGATTTCAGGATGAGAATTTTTTATACCTAGACAGTCTGCATTGGGAGTTGATGTAATTTGAAGTGTGGTCTTTTTTTTTTTTTTAATGTTTATTTTTTTAGTTGGACATAACATCTTTATTTTATTTATTTTTATGTGGTGCTGAGGATTGAACCCAGGGCCTCGCATGTATTAGGCGAGCGCTCTGCCAGAGCCACAACCCCAGCCCGAAGTGTGGTCTTTTATAGGAAGCTTTTTCTGGCTTTTGGTTTCCACTTTGGGGGAAATATGACACAGGAGGATGTGAGGCTCCTTTAAACACTCACCATTTGTATTTGTGTTTAACATACAGAAATCATAATCGTATGTGTGAGGAAGCAAAGATCTGAAGAAGTTACTTAATGTGAATAACCTCACACACTCTCCATGGAGTAACTGAGATTCCATTCAGGTGTGCTGACTTCCAGGCAGTAATTCAGTTTATCATATACCACTTGTAATCTGGAAGATATTTGGAAGAGACTGTATGAGTCTTGGTGAAAACAAATTTCTTTGTATGATATCATTATTATCTACAAATACAAAAATAATTTCATCTAGGCATGGCGGCGCACATTTGTAATCCCAGTGACTCAGGAGGCTGACGCAGGAGGATCAAAAGTTTGGTGTCAGCCTGGGCAAATTGGTGAGACTCTGTCTCAAAATAGAATTGTAAAGAAAGATTGGAAATGTAGCTCGGTGATAGAGTACTTGCTTAGCATGTGCGAGGCCTCAGGTTCAATCCTAGTACAGGAAGAAAAAAAAATTCCAAACACTGTAAAGTTTTTTATTGGTTTAAAAGTTTTGTTATTGTTTTTGTACTGGATATTGAACCCAGAGGCACTTAACCACTGAGCCACATCCCCATGACTTTTTTGTATTTTATTTAGAGATAAGGTCTCACTGAGTTGCTTGTGGCCTCACTAAATTGCTGAGGCTGGCTTTGAACTTGCGATTTTTCTGCCTCAGCCTACAGAGCCTCTGGTATTACAGGCATGCCCCGTGGGGCCTGGCTAAGTCTGTAAAAATTTAAAGTTATCTACATCCCATAGATACCTGTAACCTATGACATGTCCACGGAGAAATCCTACAGAAGCAGCTCATTGCAGGAGTTAGTCAAGCTCTATGAAGTGGAATGTAACTGATGGGAGGAGAAGATTTTTTCCTTGCCCCTTTCTTGCCAAAAAGACAAGGCTTAGATTTGGGGGAGTTGGGGAAAGCAAAAGAAATTCAGAGGCTTGGGACTGGCCATGTCCAGTCTAGCCCAGAATGTCTATTACCCTGTGGGTCTAAGAGTTCTAGAGCCAGAGCACTGGAAGTTTGGGAGAGAAAGGAAGGAGGAGCTGGGATGGGGAAGTGTGAGAGCAAACAGATGGAGCCACACATAGGATTGTGCTCAGCTAGGGATGAGCCCATCTCTCTGTGACTATCTCAGCATGGACTGTCTGTGGTCTAAGTTGTGAGATGTATCTAACCAAAAATGTGGAAATATTAACATCAGGTCAAATGAGCACATGGAGAAAAGCAAAGTGGTTACAAGAGTGTAATTAGGGATGCCCTGGGAATGAAAGATAGCTTAATAGGACAACATTGCTGAAAACCAGTCTCTGCTACTCAGTACTTTTTTTTAATCCCTCTCTCACTGACTCATCACAGAATTTTCTTAAGTTAATACATTTTTAATAATTTTAATTTTTAAGAGGAGTTTAGGTTTACAACAAAATTGAGTGGAATGGGGCTGGGGTTGTAGCTCAGCAGTAGAGCGCTTGCCTAGCATGTGTGAGGCACTAGGTTTGATTTTCAGCACCACATACAAGTAAATAAATAAAATAAAAATCCATTGACAACTAAAATAATATTTTTTTAAAACATTGAGCAGAATGTGCAGAGAATTCCCATTATCCCTTGCCTCCACACTAGCACAAGACCCTAGTATCCAGTTCTAGCCCCTAAGTGACACATTTGCTACCATTGATGAGCTTACATTGACATATAATTATCACCCAAAGCCCATAGTTTACATGAGGGTTCACTCTTGGTGCTGTACATTCTATAAATTTTCAAAGATGGCATGATAGCCTGTGCTGACTATTATAGTATCATAA